GCCTTTAAATTTTTGAAATCAGTGCAGTCGTTATTGAGAAAACACTATCACAAAGGTAAATATTTGGCTCTATCTCACATACACGCGTGAATCATTGAAATTAAAATAGCAATCGAATTTCGGGCAAAAGCATGAACTTCTCCTTCGGAAAGTTAATTATTAATATATTGATATCTTAAGATATAGCTTTTTATTAACACTAGGTTATGGGAACCGTCAATTGACGAAATTTGAACTTTGAAATAAAATGCTCAAACATCTTAGCACTAATATTAATCCTTTCGTGATATGTTAACAATTTTTACATTTTTTTCTTAATGCAAAGCCTTATATCTTACTGTTCATCTAAACCTGAGTATAAAATAATAGATTTTCAAAAGAATTTGCGCATTGCGTCAATTCGACGGCTTTCTCCTTAAGGATAGGTTTATACGAAATGCCCGTAAACCTAGTATTGCTTGAATATTATTGAATGTTGCTTATTGCATGATATATTTTCCTTAATTACATTAATTGCATTCAATTTCCACAGTGAAAATCTAGTTAAATATATCAACTGCGCATATCCTGTCGAGTACAAATTTAACGATCTCATCATTTGCTTGATGATGACTGCCGGATCCCCCTGAAATGAAATTGATCTTCCGTTTTGTATGTGCTGTTAAATATTTATACACACGAATTAAAATATTTAAAGCATCGAGATATCTATTTAGAACTACATACAACATTTTTATTTATCGTTCTTTTTTATTCTTTTAATTTTCGTTTCTGAACAACAGTCAGAACTTCGAGTCTTATGAGCTACAATGATGATATTTATCAACTTTTATGATGACAACTAAATAATGTGCTACCTAGATTTGCTATATTTATTTTATTAAAAATATGGCAGAGCGGGGTTTAAAAGGGTAAAAAGGTCCACCCCCGATATATATCTCAAAAACAAGTAAAGATTTTTCTGTCTTTTGTTAAAGTAGAGGGATAATGATGTCTGTGATCTACTATCACCTTGATTTTACGACGTCGCTATTGTTTGAAATCCATATTAAAAGTATTTTTCTTTCGTTGTTAGTTTTTTTTATATATAGATTTACATCATTATAGATTCAACCGTTTTTTATAAAACCTCTATAAAATCTTGCACGTGTGGGGTAAAAAGGACAACTGGCAAGACCAAGCAATTTTATAAGAGATAAAATAAATAGGTATTTCAACTCTGCTGCTCAAAATATCAGATCAAGGTTATATACAGTATTTTCTCTCTAAAATGCCCAAATGTTTATAATTTTGTGTTGGTGTGTTGAATAATGCGGCTATTATTTCGTAAATCCCATTAAAAATGAGACATGTTTGCCTCTCGGCCATTCAATTTTACCCTCGCCTGTGGCGTAAAAAGGACCAGATGACAATTCTGAAAACAGCAAAAAAAACTCTTTTTTACGATGATGAATTAACTAAAGCTAAACATACTCCGAAAGTGTTAGTTGTTTGTTTGTTATGTATTATTCGTTGTGTAATAATTGGTTTGGTTTACAAAATATGATTGCTCAAAGTGAATTGGAGTTAATATTTACTGATTTTTTTAAATTTAATTACCACTTATTTATCATAATTGACATTCAATATTCAGCCCATCTTGGACCATAGTTTTAAGACACCGACAACAGCATAATAATCTATAAATACGAACTTACTAAGAAAAGTACAAAAGCCGCTTCGACATCATCCAATCTCACTTGTCAGAGAACTCCGCCCAGAACAGTACTAGGGCCAAGTTGGCAATTTCACATTCATCTTTGTCAATCATAAAATCTCTGGCAATCGTCAGAAGATTTTGTAATCATAACCCTTTAGCTACGAGAGCGTTTTCTGCAAGAGTGCCGCTGCTGTGTCGCTGCTGTACAGAACAGCGCTTTCCTTAATAGTGCTATTGGAAGGACAAGGCACAATAACAAATTTTGAGATATTTCTATTATTATCAATGAAAATGTGTTGAAAAATTCGATTTTGAGCTGTAAAACACTAAAAATTACAATAAAAAGTAGAATTGCCAATAGTTTCTCACTCAGGCGGCATCCGAGTAGAAAAGATTAAATTATTATAAATTATTATGTATTATAAATGGAATATCGAATTGCACAGAAAATATATCAGCTACTGTGTTTATTCATCCCTCGTCCAGAAAATAATACGATAATAGGTTAATATGATAGAAAACATCAGAAATACAATGCATAATAAATCATCAAAGTGTCTGATAAACACTTCAAAGTTTTCAATAAATAATCCAATGTTATACAACTTTTATTAAAGCTCATAATATTTAAATAAGAATTAATCGATAATTTTACAATCCTCTGTTATGTACAAAGTACAATAATAACTTAACTATTTTATCGTGATAAATGCATTAAAGTATTATACTTTTCATAATGTGCAAATATATTTTAATGCATTTACAAATATCAATTAGTAGTTTTGTTGCCTTTTGGGAAAGTTTTAAGTATCAAGTAGATGATGGATATTTTGTATGTTCTAATGTGAATATTCGCTAGATAATATTAATGCACGTCTTGATCAACAGTATTAAAAATGATACAGCTAATTTTATTTCAACGTGAATGATGGGTATTTGACGCATTATAACTATAAGAATTATTGGACAAAAATATTCGGCTTATTTTTTATAATATCTTCCATAATGTTTTAACTTTTTTTTTTCATTTTTCAGTCATCATGACGATAGCTTTGATAGAGATCGGTGTGTATCCAAGTCAACAGAAGGGATTCTGGTGCACAGACCCCAGCATTTCGTACAAATTTCGAGGCGACACCATAACTCCTATGATGCTGGCCATCCTGACACTGATTTCACACCACTTGTGATAGTGAGTGTCGATAGTTTTTAATTATCCATTAAAACTTTTTCTAATATAATTCATCATAAAAGTACGCTATATTTATACCCCTTGTTTCTTTTCTATAGTAATCTTCTCTTATTCTATTTTTTTCTGTCTTGCCTGTCAAATTCCTTCGTAATTCTATTTTTCTATCTATAATATGAATAAATCTATAAAATTTAATTTACTACAATGTATATAAAAAAAGTAAAAAGAAGGAACAACATAGCATTTAAGTGGCTGAAGAAGCAGGGAAATGGTTTGGAAAAGACAGTCGAAGACAGAATTAGAAGAGCATTTAAGTTGGATAAGAAGAGAAAAAAGATTGTAGCCAAAATATTATTGTTGGTACGAAAAAGTTAAAATTATAAAAAAATAGTTGCCTCAGATGTACATCAGTATACATAAATCAAACGCAAGAGAAAAGAGAGATGGAGAAGAAGGCAAAAATGTGGTCGGAAAAAGAAAGGGTTGAAAGCTTTATTGAAGAAAAGAAACCAGAAAAAACGCAGAAAAAAAGTATCTGATTTATTTGGAATTTAAGAATATATGTAAAGAAAAGTAAAAAAATAAAGCAGATGAAGTAATGAAGGAGATAAAACAAACAAAAGAAAATGAGGATCCAACTAAGTGGGATAATTGCCACAAAAATGAAGGGAGCATTTTATGATGCTGCTAAGAAAGTAGGAAACAAGTAATCAGAGATGCTTTGGACTAGAGAGGTAGATTATCAAGGATACTCTTGGATTCAGTAACCATCACTTTTCATAAAGCTGAGAACTGCCGGAATACCTCAGAGGATGGAGCAATGGTTGTGATAAGAGGATAATAGCACGCAGTATATGAAGCTCGCTTGGAAAGGAGAATAACATTGACTTGGCAAAAAAGACAGAAGGTGTGATCTGTATGATGAGAAAGAGGACACAGTAGAACATTGGAGGGCAACAGTGGAGAAAACAAGCATGTCAGCATAAAAGTATCTTCAGCATGAAGAATGAGAAGAGAATTTTTAGCTGGCTGAGGACGATAGGCAGACAGAAAAGAACAAACAATAAAGAGTCAATCGTAGAGCCAGTAGAACAAATGCTTTGATGTTTTGTTGCATTGTGTTTTGTCCGTTTACTTTTTCTATGTTTGATTTTTAGAATTGGTTCTCATTTAATTTTATATGAGTAATTTAGAAATAAAAATAAAATTTGAAAATAAGAATGAAAATGAATAAATTTATTATATTTTTGTTTTACAAGATATAAGTGTTTTGTTCTGATAAAAATAAATTTGTCCTCGATTCCTGGACATTATGGGATTCTAGAATAAGTTTCACAGATTGTCAGCTTTCAAATTTCAAACATTTGTGATTTTAGGTGACTTCATTATTTACTTAAACTTTTAGATGTTCTGCGTTGAGCACTGGGCCGTTATAGGCAGTGGCAGCGCCTGGAAGCATATAAAGATGGCCTCGAAACGTATGATGCGTTGGTACAAGGAATACGTTACGGGATTGTTTTTGGCCCTGTTCATAATCGAAGTCATGAAAGCGATCATCGGAGAACCGAGACCGCATTTTCTAGACTCGTGCAGGCCCGAACCAGGACTCAACTGTACGCAGAGGTTAGTGGAAATTATGAATCTTTTAAACTCTCAAGCTTATATTATGTACAAATATTAGTGATGTATGGCATTACGCCTAACTAGTGTCTGTTGAATTTAGTTACAAAATCATGATGATTATTATTTTTATGTTATCTTTATTTACGTACTTGTAATACTATATTTGATGCATGTTTCTGTGCGTAACAGATACGGCTTTACTAGTATATAAAGTACTTCACAATGGGATAGTAGAAAATAGAATTGCTAAAAACATGAAAATGAAAAAAATATAGAAAATTAAACGACAAACCCAAACCAAAAAAATAATAAAAAGCCAAATATTTACCTTTTGTAGTGTTCTGTATTCTACATACTGTATAAGCAAACTTAACGAAAAAAACAATACAAGCATAATGCATAATAATTAAAAGAACGTATTTTTGTTGATGTAGCATCATCGAGTGGTTGATGTAACATCATTCCTATGCGATATAAAATAAATACATTTCATACTAGCAAAAAGATATTTATTCAATTACCATTTATTTTACGTTATCATTATTAACTTCCCGTAGGGCAAGTTATAGTAATCGCAAAAAAATCGAAAATGAAAATTTTTATATATCTTTACGTTTCAGAGGTTTCTGAACATTTTGGCATACCTTAGAAAAAATGGATGTATGTGTGTGTGTGTGTGTGTGTGTGTGTGTGTGTGTGTATGTGTGTGTGTATGTGTGTGTGTATGTATGTATGTGTGTGTATGTATGTGCGGATACAAATTTTCGTCGACGATTTCGGGAACACGGATCAACCGATTTGAATAATTCAAAAAACATTCGATCCGTATTGATAAGGAGACGTGCTGATTAGTTTTTGGCAAAGGCAGGTCAAGCCGTTCCGAAGATACGGGGTAAAAAGTTCCGAAAACGGTAACTCAGTTTTTAAGAGAACGGAGCGTCCGATTTTAATAATTCAAAAAACATTTTATTTGTATTGACAAGATGAAGAATCGATACAACTTTCATGAAGGTAGGTCCAGCGGTTTCGGAGATATAGAGGAAAAAGTAAAAAAATGAGCCATTTGGCGGTCAAAAATGATCATTAGACATATGCACATCAAATTATCAGACATTTTATAGAGATTTTAACAATAAGTATACATTTTGTTAACATTCCTATCGGTTCCGTACCAATGCTTATGCGTTAGACAGCGACGCGGCGCTTACGCGCTTTATATTTTGTTCCTAGGTAGTTAAAGCAGTACGATTGCTTTGAAAAAAAAGTTCAGATCTTCCACAATATGTCAAAATAAAGAAAAAAAATTTTTTTCAAAAAAAAAAAAAAAAATTAAAAAAAAAATTTTTTTAAAATATTTTTTTTTTCAAAAAAAACTAATTTTTTGTCCAATTTATAGTTTCTCAAAAATCTTATTTTTTAAAACTAATTTTTTTTCAAAAATGTTAATCGTTTTAAAAAATAATAATAATTTTTGGTACGGGAAGTTCCAGCAATTTGCCTTAAGGCACGATGCCCTAATTGCCTTAAGACAGAATTCCACTTACAGCTAGTTTATTAAATTTTAGGGTATACATAACAAATTACAAATGTACTAACACTGCCATCACCACGTGGAACGTCAGAGAATCGACGAGATCATTTCCATCAGGTCATTCCGGTTTGAGCTGCTACACATCACTCTTTATGGTGGTAAGTTTTTTTGGCACAAAATCTAATTTAATAGTTGTGTATTTAATTTTGTATTAAAAATTCGATAGAATGTGAGGTCAATATTGATTAATCTGTTTTTTTGTTGGTGATAAGTGTAGCATAAGAATGAACATAAGATATCTAATTGAAGTATAGTCCAGTCATTTAACACTATTCCTACCGACATTTCATGTTTGCTATTCCTACCGTGACCGGTCAAATGACCGGTCATGCAAAATCGGTATTTTTCAGTATTGAATGAAGAGTTAATGCTAGTTTAAGAGTTTATAAATACAAATACAATATATTTCTTTTATTTTATAATGCGAATTCTACATTTTATACTGTTTTATCCAATTTTTCACGATTTTTTTTCTTAGAGTGTATTTTCTGCACACGCATTTTTTACGTTTTTGGCTGATTTTGTTTTCTCTATCATTTTTCTAAAGCATTATCTGGAATAGTTTCTTTTAGGAAATCTGTTTTGTACTTGTACTTAGCTGATTTTTTTCTGAATTCTTGTTGGAACTATACGACAAGTTAATTGGAATAGAAAGTTCCTGCCTTGTACATTGTCTTCTCGTAATTTCTTTATGTAACAACAATGGATTTATCCTGAATACATCCAAAATAATGTAAATTCTTGATGAATTCTCTCTAAAATTCATATTTTACCAAATAATTTCTGACTATTTTATGAATGGCATCTACACCAGTCCCGACGCTAATACCAATAGAATTAACTCCCGTATTAGTGTAATTTTTTCAACATATGTGTATGTAAGTGAAAATTAGAATCTTCTTTCTTATCTTCCAAAATTGTAAATATTATTTGAGTATTGAAGTCTTTGATTTTTCGTTCTGCCAGTATTTATAGCTGTTATATTGCTTCAATTGTACCTACCATCAGTTTTTTTTACTAAAAGTTTAGCTATATGTAGGATGGTAAAAACGTTATATATTTTTTATGTCGTACTAGCGATTTTGATAACACGGTTTCATCAGTTATAAATCTTCAAAGAATATCTCAGTTTGCTACGTATACTGGATGGTTACCAAAATTTTACACCCCATTTGTGCGATTTGCAGGGCATAATTATATTTACATCGTATATTGAACAGTTACTAATATTTATACGTTTTCCTAAATACTATTGAACATATGTTGAATGAATTTACACCTTACCTTTATTGAAAATATATGTTTGTCGATAGTAATACGTAGTCTTTTACAACAATTTTGATTGCTGTCAATGTAGTTGAACCAACCTTTGGATTCAAAACAAAACCTATCGATTTATTGTTTAGATTCCTTCGTAAAAATCTGTCTATATATAGACATTGAGAAAATTGAGAAATCCCACTTTTTATACCGTAGAAATGCAATATTTATACTACTTGCCTTATTTGCGCACCGCGCATACAGAATCGAAAAAAATGCATATAAATTTGCAGAAGGCAGTTTTTACCAGTCTAAATTCTTCTGAATTTACATTTTCTTGTAAGTTCCAAAATATTCTTAACAATTACTACAAAAATTCCCATCCGAACATCGTCTTTCGTACTACCGGTCAAATGACCGGTCGCGGTAGGTAAGACAGCATACAATTTTTTTTCCAAAAAAAACTACAAAAAATCCCATCCGAATATCGTCTTTCGTACTACCGGTCAAATGACCGGTCGCGGTAGGTAAGACAGCATACAATTTTTTTTCCAAAAATAAAAATTGAAAAAACAAATTAACATTGAAAAATGTTTTATACTCACATATTAGGAAAAGTCATAAAGTTTGATGACGATTCAATTACGTTTGATATGAAAAATACTAATCGAAAAATCAAAAACGGTCATTTGACCGGTCCCGGTAGGAATAGTGTTAAGCTTAAAAAAAATCTCGGAATTCGAGATACCCAGCAATACTATTGTAGGGTATTGACACCCTACCATATGTAAGTTTTGAGACAACTTTAGGGCATCAATATACAAGTATTTACAGACTTACAGCTGAGTATCTCGAATTCAGAGGTGAACTTACTATAATGACTCGGCTAGTCTAGTATATAATACATAATATAGAGACAACTACTATCGGTCTTGGAATGTTAATCATATGTTACTACCTTCATTTTACAATAATAGACCGATCATGGTATATTATTGTAAAATGCTTGCTTGTAAAACATTGCTTGTATACTTTTTATCAATGTACCTATGTACTAAAATTAGTCTTAATATATTCGAAGCTGGATCGATCAATGTATGACTCCGCTTCAGAGTTGAATTAACTTTAGCCACTCCATCACTCCGGACCTAGTAGTCCTCAATGCAAATGTTTATACTAAGTCATTCATATATCTAAGTATTTGTTAAATTACATTAAGTATTTGAAATTCGTTCACAAATAGTTCGAACATCTTTGTTAATAATATCATAACAAACTGCTATTTTATGCATTTTAATATGCCTATAAATTTCAAATTTTATGCCGAAAGTGAGACAATAAAAATATTGAAATATCAAAAAGTTAACCCTCCGTCGGTCGGATATTTATTTACCTTCGAACGGTTGGAGTAGCCTGGCTGGACCACACATTTTTTCGTCCTGATTTTTTCATTGATCGAAAACTAACGAAATTTTGGGAAAAGTCCAGAAATTTCAAGTCGATGGGATTACTAAAATTTTTTTTTTAATTGAAGTCCAAAAAAGTCTGGCCAGACTACTCCGATGATCGACGGAGGGTTAAATCAATGTCAAAAGAGAAACTTCTATTATTTAAAAAAATAAAGAAAATTTTATTATTACATGTGAATAAGTAAACATCGTTTTTAAAAACTTCGAATATTTTATACAAAGCCAATATAAACAAACACAGGCAAAAGGAAGAAGTTTCCACAGGTAGCGACCGCTTCTTTTTAGTAGTGATAAAACGATACGAGCAAATATTTTTATATGATAGAAGGAGTTAGGGGAGTAGGCCACATTGTAAATGAGTTCCGAATTATTCATTTGAAAAAATTTATTTCCAGTTCTACTTGCATTATCGCGCTCGTCAATATCTGGGATCCCGTTTTGCGACTCCCTTCGTACAGGCATTGTACCTTTGCTATGCGATCGCTTGCAGCGTGACCCGCATCACCGATCACCGTCATCACTGGTGGGACGTCATCGTAGGAGCAGGAATAGGAATTGCTGGCGCAGTATTTACAGTACAATGCTTTTGCCAGTTTTTCAAGTCTCAATGGTCGGAATCTAAGGTAACATCTGGTATTTGACTTCATGGTTATTTGGGAAACGTACTAGCTTTACCAGTACGCGTACTAGTTGTTTGTAAACATTTTTATAAAAGAAGAAGTCAGTCAATCTATAAATTGAGGGTTGTTAATATTTCCGTTATAATTTTTTTTTATTTTACCATCTACTATCCAAATGTACGGGCCAAAAGCGACACTAAGATCGGTCGTACGCAGTGACACAAACAACTTTGCTCAGCATTCCTGTAGTTTGTACTTACACGTGCGCGGTACAGTTACATTTGCAAGATGTTTGATAAACTAGCTGTAAGTGGAATTCTGTCTTAAGGCAATTAAGGCATCGTGCCTTAAGGCAAATTGCTGGAACTTCCCGTACCAAAAATTATTATTTTTTTAAAAACGATTGATATTTTTAAAAAAAATTTACTTCGAAAATATAAGATTTTTGATAAACTATAAATTGGACAAAAAATTACTTTTTTTTAAAAAAAAAATTTTTCTCAAAAAAAAATTAAATTTTTTTTTTTTTTTTTAATTTTGTTTGGAAAAAATAATGTTTTCTTTATTTTGGCATATTTTGGAAGATCTGAACTTTTTTTTCAAAGCAATCGTACTGCTTTAACTGCATAGATACAAAATGTAAAAGCGCGTAAGCGCCGCGTCGCCGTCTAACGAATAAACATTGGTACGGAACCCATAGGAATGCAAACAAAATTTATACTTATTTCTATAAAATATCTGATAATTTGATGTGCATATGTCTAATGATCATTTTTGACCGCCAAATAGCATTTTTTTTTACTTTTTTTGTTAGATCTCCGAAACCGCTAGGCCTGCCCTCATGAAAATTTGATCAATTCTTCATCTTGTCAATACAAGTCAAATATTTGTTGAATTATTAAAATCGGACGCTCTGTTCTCTTAAAAAATGAGTTACCGTTTTCGGGACTTTTTGCCCAGTATCTTTGGAACGGCTGGACCTGCCTTCGCCAAAAACTAATCAGCACGTCTCCTTATCAATACGAATCGAATGCTTTTTGAATTATTCAAATCGGTTGATCCGTGTTCCCGAAATCGTCGACGAAAATTTGTATCCGCACATACATACACACACGTACATACATACATACATACACACACACACACACACATACATCCATTTTTTCTAAGGTATGCCAAAATGTTCAGAAACCTCTGAAACGTAAAGATATATAAAAAATTTTATTTTCGATTTTTTTGCGATTACTATAACTTGCCCTACGGGAAGTTAATAATTACGTTGATTCTTAAATAAAAATGAAGATTTATTATTACAAATACATAAAAAATCTGATAATTTATACATATTATAAATTTATATATTTGTGCGAAACGTACAATGTAAATACCACTGGTAGCAAAGTCATCACTGCTTTGTAATTCATCACTAATATTTTTTTAATTATATTATATAATATTAACACATCATATTGGGTATTTTTTTAAATTTCTTACAATCGATGTATGTCTGTGCCTCACCAAGTTTCGGATATGTTTTACTTATGTTTTGTCCGGTAGACTCTGAGGCGTCCTATTCGTGTTTGGGCCGGTAATCTTGCGACGACTCTGATGCGTCATATTTGTGTTTGGGCCTAAAACCTTGCAACACCTATGAGGCGTCATTTGTGTTTAGGCCGATAACTTGCGACGCGGGTTAATAAAATGTCGTTTGTGACATTTTTTACTTTCACTATTGTAATCCAGATATAATATAATAAAGGGATGAAATGAATCCATTGCCGGCATTTGCCATATTTTAACAGCAATCAGAACCTTACATTCTATAAGCTGTTGGGCTGAAACTTTGCCGTACGTCGTATTTTTTAGATGGTAACCCAACGATTGATCCATCCATTTTAATGTCCATTAATTAATTAATTAATCCATTGATTACGTTATTATTAGAAGTTTATCTAATATGGCGGATTTATTATTCAATTTGGTGCTTCGATGACCGGAAAGGTCTATTTTCACTTGGGAACAGATTCTAAATATATATTTCCAAGTGAAAATTGATATCGCTACAGCTCGATATCAGGGTTGTTCGTGACGGCAATTTGAACCCGCGACTTAGTTGATTGATGGTTGATTGCAAACCTGCGCGCGAAGGCCCCATTTGGAATGCTACTTCTAATGTATGCTATTTCCACAACTGGATATCGACTCGCGAATTAATTTTTATCAGGAACTCTTTAATGCTTTAATCAGACTTTGTATTCCGCTAACCTCTTACGTTGGAGATTCCAATAAACCAATCTTAACTAGATCTAATTGGTATGTTGCCCTATGGCAAATTGCATGAACTCCCAATGTTTAATAAATAACGAACTTGATTAATAAGAATTGAGATTTAGCAACTATGAAAATTGTGATTATGAAACTATCCACAGCTTTTTTCGAAAATGTTTTTACTTTTCGCTGGACGCAAATAAATGCGATTTTCAATTGATATATTTCAAACCTATAATATCTCTAATATATACTTCGTGTTCTTAAAATGTTATTTCATTTAAGTGTAGACGCCTACGTTTTTCAATTTATCAACAAAATATTGAACGGAAAATACATAGTGCATGTCCTAACATAGTGGCTTTTTTAAAAAATGTTATAATTAAACCACTTTTCGTAAGCCTGTAATATTTTAGCATAAGCATTTGCAAAGTTCCATCAAAAACTCTAAAAATAATTTAGCAACTAATTACGAAAGAACGGCTCGGCCGTTCCTTACTATGAACTAAGATTCGCAACTGATATCCTTTGTAGTTTCGTTTTTTAAATTCTTCTAATTGTCACTTTGCACTGCAAAATGCACTTTTCTGCAAATTCTAAAAGAAGAAATTTCTTAAGAAGCGGCTTGGCCTATTATTGCCTCGTGAAACTAATCGAGTTTTATACAAAATCTTTTAAATTATTTAAATCAATGCGGCTGTTTTTTGAAGAAAACGGCTTTTGAAACGGAAAATTTACTTTTCCAATTTCGGTGTCGACTCAGAATGACTTGAAACATTAAGAAAACAAAAAAATCTTATTATTTACTTATACTATTGCCGTTTTTTAATTACAATATACAATCTATTATTTTAACAGGAACCTACTCCAGTGAAATTCGGCACACTGGTCGGCTTGGACGGAATAGCTTTGCCAACATTACCAAACGGAAACGACAGAACACGACACCAGAGTGCGAGGCGGTTGCTTTCGGATATCAGCCAAACGGAAACCACTACAGTACCAGGCCATCAGCTTGCCTAACGGTGTGATAATTTACGTGTGTTAAATATTGAGTTAGAAGCCAGAAAAAAACGTGTTTGCGATATTTTTCCTGCAAGATAAACAGATTTAAAGACAATTTTATGTGATGCGATCATTGTGAATTTATAATAAAATTCATAAATTCTGACGATTCGGGCAACTTTCGGATCAAAGTGTGTGACTAGATGTGCAAAGGAAGTGATTTTTATGGCTTTTATTCCATTTTAATGTTTGGCCTTTTTTTAGCACTAATCTTCTGTTTAGACTATAACATCATTTAGTACATTAAATAAATTGAAGAATCATAATGCAAAGTTCATGATTACATTATAAAGTAGTTAATAATTGAATTAATATAATTTATCACTTTTCTTAACATTTTAAAATAAGGCCAAGTTTTCTAAATCTAACCATGGTCAATAAAATAAGACAATAATGCAACTAAAATGTCAATATATAATTCGATATTTTAGAATAATTTATTAAAAAAAACTATTATAAGATACGATATAATATTCCCAGACAGCACAAGACATGCCAGGGAATGTCCCACTTGTCCTCACAATCTCCTAATATCGCGATATCCTATGAATATCCTATGAATATGCAACGGGACGTCTCAAAACCAAAGGACTCGAGCAGGTATAACGCACGGGTTCACGAACATGTCGCTCCCGTACGCGCACGGCTTGAGACCTCTAAACGTATATGTTTGTCTCTTTCTCTTTCGTCGCGTCGGTTTTGCGCCCTTTAAGGTTGGGGTTAGCGTCATCAAACAGACGCTATATGTAGAATTATCATAGTTTTTGAGTAATTGAGTAATAATAGTGAAAATTTTATTTGTTTTATATAATTATATGAGCGTGCGTTATAAATAATTAATATTATTTATCAAAATACTCTAAAATTGAGTAATAATAGTGGAAATATTATGTGTTCTATATAATTATATGTGCGTGTGTGTTATAAATATTGCAGCAACATATTGAAAGGGGGGCAGATATAAACGATGGTAATTAAAGCTTTCTGTGTACTGTTATTTGAAATACTATTTTACTAGTACAAATAGAATTTTTAATTTAATGCTAACATTTCTACCCTGCCAGCTTATCCAGCAGCCATGCCTAATTTTGTATCAAATGCTGTGTTTGAAAGAGAATTAACAAAGAAGAAATGCTCTCCACTATGTTTGTTGGAGGAGCTTCAACTTATGGAGGCTATTCTTCTGAGCAAAGATATCAAAATACAATTGGTAATCAAAAGTTTATATAGATTTATTTTTATTTGTTAACTTTATCATATACTAAACAAACTTTCTCTTTATATTCTGTATTTAGCCATCAGAGTCCAGCTATGAAAATCCATTTTTGATGATGGTTTGGACAAAGAATTTTGCTAGGGACGAGGAAAGGGCAAAAATAAATTTTGTGATCTAGTGCCTTGCGATGTCATCACAGGTAATTTATATATCTTATACTTATGATGTGTTGTAAATTATGAATTAAACTAATATATAATTAATTCCAGGAATTGCTTTGAAAAATTTGCCGCATGAGACATAGTTTACTGTTTCAGAGGCTGCAAAAAGCTGGCTGCGACGTGCCAATAAATATTATACAAGGTATTTTTGTGAGATGTGTACTATATGTTTTTCCTATTTACAAAAAAATCATGATTATTGACTGGTTAGTTGTATCAATGTTAGTGCAAAATTTGTGCTGTGTACACATTTTTAGATGTAAAAAACCAAGTTTAATATTCACTCGTAATGACATCAAATTGTGTCGATGTATTTGGAATTAGAGATTATTTTATAAATCTCTGTCTATTTTGATTGATGTATCGCTCTTAAAGAACTTACTCATATATATATATATATATATATATATATACATATATATGCATTTATTCATTTGTTTTCTATTTCAGGAGAGAAAATCAACCATGAACTAGGATTGAATGCCGAATTAATTATATTTTTAATATTGTAAAATAAGTTATTTTGAATTAAAGTTGTATATATTAAATTTTGTTATAAAATTATCTCAGGATTTTGTTATTTTGTAATAAAAGTTTACTTTGTGAAATTGTGTTCTTTTATTTTATTTTTAATCCAAATTTATTTTTCATCTAAAAAGTAAAAAACAATTCCATAATTATATCCTATTCATGTCCGGTTTATGTCCGGAATATCCCGCGCGGGATATCCTACAGAACGTCCCATAGGTGCGACATATTAACATGTTTCGGATAAGATGAGGATAAGCGGGATATCCGTAAGGCTATCGCAGGGACAATGAATGTCCGCGCGTGGATATCCTGTGGACGTTTTCCAGGATGTCTTGTGTTGTCTGGGTTATTATGCAAATTTTTAATTATGCTACAGAACAAGAAAAATTGCTGCCTTTGCATATGTGTGGGCTCAATAAAAAAATGGCGTAGCTAGATATATAAAAACTCTGTTTGTATATAGTATTTCTAAAAATTGTTCAACAAATGTTTATATTAAAGTTGAGCAAACTGAAACTAAGTAACTTTTTATTTAGTCATGCTCGACAAATACTATTATTATATTATGTAAATAAATTACAATTGTAATCAGGTTATACATTTACTATGTCCATCACAACAAAGTGACTGCAATCGATTATATATCATGTTTTTATCGATATTTTAAATCGGATAAGTAAAATTCCTAGATTAACAATAATATTCTATAACGCTAGTAAGTTTTAGGCAGCATAATATAAAATCATAAGCATAGTTGCGATATAAATATATTATAGTAAGACAGATTCAATTTTGTCAGCTGAAACTAAAATAGTCTCCGAATGCTCGCTTGTCTATAGTTTTACATGTTAAATTAGCGTTCTTTCCATTGATTTCCACTGCAATGCTACGTTATTTTGAATAATAAAAATTAAGCTTATTTTTGGCAATTTTTTAACATCAGCTTTAAATATATCTCGCGACATAAGATAGGCATATTTGTGTAATTGCCTGCAGCAAGCGAGTAAAAGAATAAGGGACCTAGCTTATCTGAAATCTATCGCACTTTCCAAATATTTAAACAGTATTAACGTATCTACTTATGATTTTTTTAAAAAGTGTACATAAACACTGATTTTTTTTTAAAAAAAAAACAGCCTTATGTTTACTGCTGCTGCTCTGTCTGGTACTGACTTTTGATTATATTGAAAATGTGTTGCGAGTGCATGTTTATTAAAAAGACAAAATGTTTATGTATGAAATTTATACATTGGTGGTAGACTAGAATATATATAAAGCATACATATGTATGTATTATAAAAAGTGACCAAATTTGAAAATCAATATTTTTATATTTATCTTGTTGTAAGTGAATAATTATTTATTTATTACACAAATTATTATAATATATGTAATAATATTAAAATATAGTTTTATAAAATATATATATTATCAACTTGTCTTCTTAACTCCACTTCAATATTCAAATTGATTTAATAATCTTTAGCTTATTGTGTGTGTAATATACAACTGTGGTGTACATATTTTATTATCTTAGTAATAACCATATCATATCGAAAGAATTGACCCATTTAATGCCTAAATGAAACGTAAGTACTAATTAATCTAATTAGATTGGGTTTGATAATATAATCGACTGAAAGGGTTTAGAATTTTCAGAAATGCTTTTGATAAAAGATACTGTAAACAACAGAAAAATGCATGGACCAGTTACAATGTTGATTTATTTCTGGATAGCATATTGTACCTGACGTCTTTTTTTGGTTTTTAACCCTTTGAGGGAACAAATAATTCTAGCATATAACTGTGTATGTGAAAAGTGAAAAGTGGTGTTGTGTGTCAAGAACGTAATGAATTACTATAAGGTTGTTCGGAAAGTTACTTCGTTTTTTACCACCAGAATTTAACTATTTTTTTTAACCTAACATCACATTTAAGCCCTATAATTATTATATTATTTGAAAACTTATATTTCAAGGTTTATGTGTAAAAAATTCTAATTGATTACATGCAGTAGTTGTTGGATGGTGCCACTTTCAATACGGAAAAATTAAGCAGCATTTTCGACTTATTTTACTCTTTTTATGTAGAAAAGGTAAAAATACTGTTCGAGTCAAAATGAAACTGACCGATGTGTATAGAAATGGCGTGTTGATAGTAGGACAAAATTAGTTTGCTAAATTTCATTCCTGGTATTTTGATGTTCAAGATGCATTAAGTCCAAGAAGTACGATTGAAGCTAAAAAAGACGCGAGAAAAGCATTAAGTAGTTGATGCAAACCGACGAATAATAATATCTAAGATAATAATACATGAGTAAAAATTTATCGAATTTAACAGTTCATGACAAAACTCAATGTATAGTTCTCATAGAAAGTTACGTGTGTCGTCACACTGGCGTCCGCCATTCGCCCTGAAAAGTCTTGAAAATTATCAGGTTTTAAAGCGAATTTTTACTAGGAATTTCAAATGGGATGTAAGGAATACAATACACACATTTGTCCATGAAACAAAAAAAGAACCTGCTCAAAACAGGTGCAAATTTGCAAGAAAAGGGTGATGCAGTATGTTTGGTAAGATTTTAAAGGAGTTGTTCATTTTTCAGCTTTTTCAGTATAACATAACAGTTAATTTGGATGCCTTATATCATCATCTGGATGAACTAAATGATATACTTCAATAGAAAAGGTCAGAATTAACCCACAACAAGGTATAGCCCCGTATCAAAACGACGCAAGACCTCACAAAAGTTTGGTCAATCGCCGGAAGCTTTTGAAGCCCGAATGGAACCTAATTTTGAAAATTCATCATATTATCCAGACTTGCCATAATCGGACCATTATTTGTACCGGTCACTAAAAAAAATTTTAGGCGGTGAAATCTTTACCTGAAATCAGTCTGTAAAAAGCACTTTGATCAGTCTTTTGTCAATAACCACCAAAACATTTATGATTTCGGAATTATGCTAATACCAGAAATATGACAAAAGATGTTCTATCAAAACTGCCAATACATAATTTATTAAAGTAATTTTTTATTATACGAAAATTACGTGCAAAAATGTCTATAAAAAACGAAGTTACTTTTCGAACAACCCAATATATTGTCTTTCCTTATCTATGATTGTCTAGGGCATAGGTTCCCAAACATGTTTGTGCCGTGGACCCCTTGCGATATTTTTCGTTTTGTCATGGACCCCCTATATTATGGTTTATCCGGGACAGTTCCGGATTTTCATCTTTTGGTCCGGGTTTTTTCAAAATCAATTTTTGTCCCGGATTTTTGAAAAATATAGGTTTGAATCTCATTTAAAATTTCCCTAATTAAATTTGTTTTTTCTTAATAAAAATTAAATTACAACTACTTATCAAATTAATTATGTGAATCAATGTGTTTTTTTATCTCTTGTAAAACGTTATGAATGAGAAAATTGCTGATTACAAAATTCCAAAGGCGAATTTAATTTCATAAAATTAAAAAAAAAAGAAAACAAACAAGCCCATAGTAATTTTTTCAAGTTATATAATCGAGTTAGAATTCTTACTAATAGTCCGCAATTGTAATTTGAAAATATATTTTTGAACAAACTGTTCTTTATTGTATTTTTAAATGGTATCTTTTTACTACGTAACATATATTTGTTATTTGTGATACTATTAACAGATCGTCTTATGCTCAACTTAATATATCGAGCAACAAAATGAATTTAAAATGGACTTTGCTAAAATAAATATATTAATGAGTTTAGTTTCAAAACTTAAGTAATAAATAGCGGCTTTATAATTATTTTTAATACATCATCAAATTGATCATATGTTATTTTAGAAAATTAAGGTATGATGCCATGCAACCAGTTACAACATTAATCCACGTGGAACAACTGACGGTAGAACTGCTATAATAATCAGAAACATCATTAAGCACTACCAAACCTATAACATTTGTCAGTAAACATTTCATATAAGCAACTTTCTTCAATAACCAACCCAGAAATAAACTATATCTGTAATTTATTGTCCACCAAAGCACAAAATTACCTGTGAAATTTGAATGTCCAAGAGTTTAGTTCAAAACACTTGAGTCGAAATTCGTTGCTGAAGGGACTAAAATTCAAATAAAATTTTGTTTATCGAATCCAAATAAGTGGTATCTATATCACACTTCGTTAAATTGCCATTTAAACCTCTATATTTCGTATTTATAAATTCTAAGGGCAAAAATCTTACCAAAATTAAGCTTTTCAACAGCCAGCATATAGTTTAACCACAACTCGAACGCCTACATGCTACAACTTACATACTTTATATAAATATGTAATTTTTTCTTTACTTTTTGAATCATTTCTAAATATTGCCAACTATATTAAAAGATTTATTACAAATCTATATATTATATTATCGTTTAACGTAAATAAATAGATTTTAACATGGTGTATTGTAATCCACTGCAGTGGACCCCCATTTTCATTTCGTGGACCCCCAAATTTTGATTTTGCCGCCGTGGACCCCTTGAAAGTTGCCATGGATCCTGGGGGTCCATGTGGACCACTTTGGGAATCACTGGTCATAGGGTAATGAGAGCCAAGCAACTTTGTTGCGTATGCGAATACCTTTAGAAACCTGCATTCTGACCTGCCAACTTCACTGCGCTTCGAATTTCAGTCAGATTCGCCGTGCAGTCTACAGTCTATCTCTCGACGTTCTCGATGGTGTTTATCAATTCGTTCCCCGTTCCTTGTGTTATCGTTTAGCGTTCGCCGTTCGACCAATCACGAGCGAACAAATATCAAAATTGATTGTGAGAGCAAACGTCACAAACACTCATTATCAAAATTCAATCGTAATGTGACATCTGATCTAGAGAATTATATTTTGAAAAACATGTCTTTATCTTTTATACATATTCTATAATATTTAACAATAACAATTATTTGTTTATTTTGATGTAACATAAGATGGAAGCAGTACCTGTGACTTTGATTGTGAAGGCACCAAATCAACAGATAGAAGACCAAACCATACAATGCGAACTATCGTGGACGATAAAAAAGCTAAAAGGGTATCTCTCAGAAGTTTATCCTAGCAAGCCTGTAAGTATTCTTTGACATCATTCATTTATTTTAATTTCATTATGCAGTTGACAGCAAAACGTCAAATGAAGTATGAAAGCAAGCTGATTACCCAAATAAGTAGTACAAATGTTAGCACTTATATGGCAATATCTAACCACAACATATAGGTTTTGTATTTAACTATGGCAAAATTTTTCATTTTGCAAAATGATAAAATACTAAAATGTGCCAAATTGCTTAATAATACAATGTACTTTAAGTGCCTGCTCAGCAATATCATGCTTGTAGTTCTAAATAATTTAAATAATCAGCTCGTATTAGAAGATTATCAAATATAATCAAATTAACTTATGACTACATATATTTGCAGTACTAAAGTGAAATAAAAACTTATGATCTATATACATTACTACAAATTGTGCAGTTAGTACTTAAACAAATTAAGAAATTTGCTTAATGACAGAATTATTGAAAGCTGCTTTCAAGAGTTGAGACAAGAAATAGTTGGTCCCTTGTATTAATGCTATATTCGAATTAAACAATGTACAGATCGGTTAGACCATTAAATCCTTTGTGATTTTCTTTATTTATTTTTATGCTTTTATTAATTTGTTTGTTTTTTTATTACATTACATATTAATTTTATTACATTACAAATTAAGAAATTTGCTTAATGACAGAATTATTGAAAGCTGCTTTCAAGAGTTGAGACAAGAAATAGTTGGTCTCTTGTATTAATGCTATATTCGAATTAAACAATGTACAGATCGGTTCACCATTAAATCCTTTGTGATTTTCTTTAGCATTTTTTATTTATTTTTATGCTTTTATTAGTTTGTTTGTTTTTTTATTACATTACATATTAGATAAATCAGCGCTTGTTGTTGATGATGCAATAATGTCATTTATTACAGTTTGTAATTTGTGTAACTACATTATTCAATACATGATTTTGAAATTAAAGAATTAAAAATTTGAATGAAAATTAATTAATTATCGCTATTATCCTACAGTTACTTGCAATCTAATTTAATCTTACTTTACTTTGATTATTAATTATAAATAAGCCTGACAAGAGCCAGAAATATTTATTATTAATTACGGCTTGCTTATGAATAAATAAATAAATAAATATTACTTTCAATGTGCATTTGAAAATAGAAAATTAACGTGAGCATGTACTAATAAAGGCGAATGTATTTCTTCAATAGAAATATTTGACTCTTGTGTTACTACTATATTCAAATTAAACAATGTACAGATTGAAGAAACCATTAAATGTTTTATGAGTTTGTACAGTATTTTATTTATTTTTGTGTCCTTATTAATTTAAAACCCTTAATCAAAAAGTAATTGATTGTTAGTTTTTGAACTTCATGTTTAAATATTAGAAATGAATTTCATCAAAATTAAATTGTTTAATCTTTTTTTTTCATTGAATTGCAATTTGATTGCAAATTGAATTTCATCAAAATTAAATTGTTTAATTTTTTTTTTCATTGAATTGCACATTTGATAATATAATCAGTGCTTTTTATAATTTGTGTAAATACATAATTAAATACATAATGATTTTGATTTAAAAAAAATTGAAATTGAGATGAAAATTTATTAATAATTGATATTATCCTACAGTTACTTGCTATCTAATTTAATTTTACTTTATTTAATTGTTAACTATGAATATTATTAACTAGATATATTATTTACTATTATACTTTACTACTTTCGATTTGCATTTGAAAATAAGAAATTAATTGGAGCATACATTTTAAAGGTGAATGTATTTTTTTATAGTTTATATATCTCTAAATATCAGATTAATATAACTGAGACAAAATTGATTGAATTAAATGATCTATAATTTATTTTAACAGCAATTGACTGGAATAAATCAATCTAATCTTAATGGTATATTTAATATTACAACATAATACTGATACTTTGCATTTGCTAAAGAAGCATAATTAACTTCCCGAAGGAGTAATTTGTTTTCACCAGGAAATCCGGTTTGCTAGTTTTGTTTCCTTTGGGGTTTCAAGCCATATTGAATCATTTTTTGTTTTCATCAATCTTTTGTTCATATTTTCTCAAAAACGGCTAGACTAGCGTCTAGCGACAATCGTCCAAATAGTTTATAATTTCTAGCAGAAAATTGCAAAATATTTCGTTCGCGTTTTAGCCAAAAATGTATTTTTAATGAAATTTAACATTACGATACAGTTTATGATCTGAAATATAGGTTTGCAAATTTTTTGAGTCCTTGTGCTTTGCTGTGGGCTCCCTAGATTTGTAACTGTACAAAAGTTTAGTATTAAACATTTAAAGTAAAATAATATGTTAAGTATATACATTTATTAATGGAATTTAAGATGACAAACTAAAGTAAACGATGATTACTCATACATCTTACGGCTAATGATGCCTGTCTACATATTTTTTGTTAGTTTGAGATCAGTAATAATGCTAAACTTTTGTTCTATTAGGGATTGCAATGTCTGTTTAGTACATACAAGCATGTGATTATGCACTATAATTAATATAATTATGGATATTATAAGTCTGTTTGAAAAATATGAATTGGAAGTCGCATTGATTAGTTTTTAGTGAAAGCGAAAAGTCATTATTTTCGAAATAGACAATTAAACATTTTATTTAATAAAGTTGAAGTAGATTGTTTACATATATTGGGAAGTTCATTCAACTTGTCTGAAAGCAAAATGCCTCTTACATCTAGTTTTTATTCTATTTGCATATAAAATAAAATTTATACTAAATTGATTTATCAATAATGGTAAATAAATTATATCATAAGTTGCAATAGAAATTGTGCCACTATGATGTAATGAAATACGTAATTCAAAAATTATTATTTTAATTGCACTAATATTATTTCTAGAGTACGGAAGAACAGAAACTTATCTATTCGGGCAAGTTGTTATCTGACACTGTTGTTCTGAAAGATATATTACGTAGATATGAAGGTCAAGATACCCATACTGTTCATTTAGTTTGCATTCCCAAAAATGACAATATTAAAGTGAAGACAAAATGTCAGACAAAAGGTCCAGTAATTGATCCAATACCAACGAATCAAAGAGAAAATGCAAGTACCACTTACCAGAGAATTTTGTCAAATAGTAGCACTAGTTCATCGAGTGAAGCGATAAATCAACAGTATGGACAGAGGAATGATTTGGCTAATACACAGCCAGTGCCCCAATGGAATAATGTTAATGGAACACCATCAAACCAAGTTGTTGTACAAAATCTGTTATGGTTGAACCAAGTTTATACACAGTATATAACACAATATATGCAAATGTAAGTTAACGAAGTTAAGATGCATTTAATAGTTACAGTTCTACAGTCATATTTAGATACATACCATTTTGGCAATTTTTTGCCAAATCATATTTTGTAAATACTCATGTGTAATACTATTAATATACTTGTTAGATTACAACACGGAATGGTTCCAGAAAATGCTTATCTTCAAATGCTGCAGACGAATTCCATAAATATTCAATCAAATTCTCGGATTTCTGAAAATGACACAGCTCCACAAGCCCCAAATGTATGGTCAAGTAAAAAGATAATAATAAAATTTCAGTTCTGATTTAAAAAACTAAAATTCAAAAATAGCAACAGTTTATGAATAGACTCAAATTTAACCTAGAAAATTTGATTGTGTTTTGTTTTTGTTCTGTGCAATTAACTGTGATGAGAAACATTACAAGATGTTTTTTTATTTATTATGCCTGTGTACTTTTCTACAGGATCCTGAAGTTGAGCAAGCTGCTGCTGCTGCTCCAATAAATGCTGTTGGTGTTGGTATACCGGCTGATGAAGTTGAGGGTGAACGTGATTGGCTGGATTGGTTTTATTTCTTGAGCAGAATAATGGTCCTTTTTAGCATTGTCTATTTCTATAGTTCACCAATCCGATTTTTAGTTGTCCTCATACTTGGAACTCTTGTACATTTGTGAGTATATATAATATAACTATATACTAACTAAATATATACTAACTATATATAGTATAACTATATGATTTGGTAGCATAACTATTTGTGGTATACATAGATCTTATATTACATGAACTGCCAGTCGAGCCGATACAAAATGTAAAAAGATCTTGTAACAAAGTTGATAAGATCATGGTAATGCTAGACAAATTGCTGGAAATGACTTGATCTGTGCAAGCCCCAAGTCATTCAACTTTTGGAGAATCATGCTATCATACAAATTTTTGTACATTAAATTTGAGAAATTTCAAATTATACTTTCTATATATAAACATAAATTCAAGATTTTATCTGAAGGATATGAAAGATATTCACGATTTTTGATATCGATTAATGCCTAATTTTCCGGTTCTCCTACAATACTCGCAAAGCATTCATTTATTTAATCTATCTTGACGTTTCTCGGCGGCACACCCTCGCAACAGAGAACATTTTTTTACTTGAGAAATGTAAGGGGACTAAGAGTCCATGTAATATAAGGTCTATGGTAGTATAGCAATCATAATCCTGAATTGATTTATGCATTAATTTATTATATCTCAGTTTATTTTATACCATGCTTTTTAAAACCAAAAGTTCTATGAAAATTTGATTTTAAAAGTCATTATTGAGGTATAAATTAATCTAAGCGTGCCATTACATTTATTTTTATGTGATGAACAACTTTATTGTTCAAAATGAAGTAAAAACAAAATATGACTTGAATACTTTGTTTTCAACTTTCATAATTTTCAAATTACTGATTAATATAAATGAGTCATTTGAGAAATTTGATATAAAACTGAACTGTATATAACGTCAAAGAACTATCAATTTGCTTGTGAGTGGAATATCATTATTAAAAGAAATTTTAGAAAAAAAAATTATAGAAATGTTTATTTCAGGTATCAAATAGGATTCTTTAGAAACGTTATGGCGGAAATTCACAACGAAAACAATAATGCACCAAATGCAAATGCTCCAAATAATAATGAAATTGTAGACAATATTGATCAAAACCAAGAGACTCCTACTTTTAGTACACATACCAGCACAACTCAACAGATTACCCCAAATGATGATCGACCACATTTATTCACAATATTGTGGACATTTGTGAGGGCATTTTTCCAATCACTAATACCAGAAACACCAAATGCTATATGAATGTGATATATTCTTTCTTTAAATTAATTCATACTATATTATATAAAGTATACTGAACGTTTTACTTTAATTGTAAATATTGTGATATTACTAATATATTCGGGCTTACTGGATTAGCTAGAAACAACAAATCTGATCCAACATTTGCTATATTTTGTAAATAACTATAAATAAATGTAAATATGTATATACATACATGTATGTATCTGATGCATACGTGTATAAATGTGTAATGGCAATTAATGGCAAACAGATCTGCCTAATTTGAAATTCTTGTATTATAAGTATGTTAAAATATTCTGTTTAAAATGAGTAGCCAAGCAAATAAATTTGGTATATAAATATAATAGGTACCAATAAAATATTCCATTGTATTTTTTGGCCTTATATTTATAGTAATAAGTTCAGAATTGTTTGCAGTGTTTATAATTTTATTAATTTAATTTCTTCAGAGTTATGAAATTTTAACAAGTGTTTAATAATGTTAGTCATTTAGAGCAAAAAATTGTATTTAAGTAATGGCAATAAAAATGTTTTTATTAACCTTCTGTTTAAAATCACATAGACATCATGCATGTTAAAACTTTAAAATTAGCTTTTTTTTATAACAAACTAAACAGATGGTGAAGAAAAATATTATTTAATTTAAATTTGAAACTTTTCTAAAAAGAAATTCTTTTCAAAGTTTTAAATTGATATTATTTTATTTATAAATATGTACGTATTATTTTGAATGGCTTAACATGTGTTTAACATTATTTCCTCACAATCAGTGTCATATAGGACAAAATGGAATGCAATGCATGCAAAAAATGCGGGCGCACGCCTTAGGGGACGCCAAAACGAGATTCGGATATGAAATTTATAATATAGAAAGGCTAGAATTTTTTTAATCTCTGATTTGCTAAACCCAAATATTAATATTACACATGCAAGAATAATCTTGCAAGTAATAAATAACATATCGAAATTTTTGGATGTGTTGAAAAGTTTGGATTGAAATTAGTTCGGTAGTGCGACAACGGTAGAAGACACAAAAGTTTGATTATGAGCACCCGCGAATTGCCTCGATCTTCTGAATAATTTTAAAATCAATGTATTTTTGCGCTTTTAGTTTACATTACATATATCTAAATTTTGTGTACATAAACACAGAATTATTAAAAAGTATTTAAAAAAATTAATGTGAATTTTGCATAATTTTCATGATGAACTGTTAAAATAGTTAAGATATAATATAGGGGGACGGGGGCGCGAAAAAATAATGGCATGCGGGCGCTGAGGCCCTGATATTAGGCCTATAATATTCTGGTGTATTACTTTAGTCTACGAAATCTATCGTTATAAAAACTAATCAACGTGATTCCCAATCAATATCTTTTGAATTGTTAGAATTGATTGAAGATTGTGCGCTAAAATGTGGACGAAAAATTTTATACAAATGTCTTTTAAATTTTTAAATCGGCCTAGCCGTTTAAAAAAAAACGTCGAGAAAACATATAATTAGCAAATCGGATTATTTCCCGAAACGGGCAAGTTATAGTCACAAAAAATCGACAAAGAAATTTTTTTATATATCTTTACGCTTTAGAGGTTTCTGAATATTTTGGCATGCCTTATTATTAGAAAAAATGGATGTATGTGTGTGTGCGGATACAAATTTTCGTCGACGATTTTGGGAACACCGATCAACCGATTTGAATCATTCAAAAAACATTTGATTCGTATTGATAAGGAGACATGCTGATTAGTTTTTGGCAAAGGCAGATCTAGCCGTTCCGAAGATACGTGGCAAAAAGTGCCAAAAATGCACCAAAAACTCAGTTTTGAAGAGAACGGAGCGTTCGATTTTAATAAATCAAAAAACATTTTCTAGTATTGACAAGATGAAAAACTGATTGAATATTTGGGAAAGCAGGTCTAGCGGTTTCGGAGATCTAGTAAAAAAAGTAAAAAAAATGCCATTTGGCGTTATTCAAATTAGTACCCATACATTAATTCATTCATTAGTGGCGCTAGGATCACCTCTTCTGACAGAAACTTCTGTCGATTGCGCACTCGGTCCTTATTTAATTTTTGTTGTATCTTTGATTTAAAATCATGCCGAATTGAATATTAACTTTAGGCGAACCTAATAAGTAATTTGAATTGTTATGTAATTATTCGTTAATTGTGTATAATGTTTATCTAGAATGAGTGATTTTTATTACTTGGATTTATCTTTGTTAGTATATAAATTTAGGTTATGTTCTAGTATAGCTTGCATTATCAGTTTAATTCTTTCACTAGCTAAATCCAAAAGTAATAATTAAATTATCTTTGCAGAGAATTAGCGCAAGACGATTCCAACGTTTCTATTATATATTTGAAAAAGAATATTATAAACAGTTTGAGGCAAATATTTGGAGAAATATCATCAAGTGTAAATATTGATATACTTAAATATGATTCATGTGAACGACGTGCTATAATCAGAGTGCCTGCAGAGCAATATGTTAAATTGAGGAGCTCCTTAACTTTATGCAGTACATATGAAAACATCAGTTGTGCATATAAAATCCATAATATTTCTCCTTCCTTGCTATCATTAATTGGTAACAGTAGAACCTATAGTCATTAGCTCTAATTACGTATTAAAGTAAAGTAAAATACTGAAGATGTCTTATTGTGAGAAAAAAGATGGTGGCAAAGACATTGTTATTTTTGCAACGAAAGAAGATCATGAAGTACCGAGTACGGTTACATTACCTGAACCAGAGCCGTCACCTGGGTTGATATTGCCAAATGGTGAAATTAATTGGAATTGCCCATGTTTAGGAGGCATGGCCACGGGACCTTGCGGAGTTTCATTTAGAGAAGCATTTTCGTGTTTTCATTATAGGTAATAGAATTATATTAATGGTCTTCAATTTTTTGCAAATATTGTTAGCTTTTGTTAATAGCTCGTTTTTCAATTTAATGTGAATTGATACTTAATTTTCTTGTTTCATTCATATTCAAAAAATTTGAATATGTAGCCTTTTTATTATGTTATGCAATTTTTCAGTGCACTATTATAGCTATGTTAGCAAATTAATAGAATCCAATTTTTTTCTATTAAACATTTATAACAAGTGACACCAATAATTTTTTGTTCAGTTCAAATTTTAATTATTCAATTAGTAATCAGTTATATTTTTATCGAAACAGATAGTGTGTGATTCATCTTTTTCTTCTAATTCTATGGTATATAATATAACATATTATTCTATTTACAATATTTATTGAGAATCTTGTTTAATTTTCAATGTATTTTTGCATTTGTTCGCAGAAGTACTGTTCACTACTTCAAGTTCAAAATACTTAACTCTGAAACACATCTTTAAATTTTGATTCTACATATTTAAATCATTTTAAGTAACTATAATAAAATAATATTTATTTACATTTCTAATTAATTCCAGTGAGGCTGATCCGAAAGGTAGTGACTGTTTTGAGAAATTCAAGGATATGCAAGATTGTATGTCACAATATCCAGCTCTATATAATAAACAAACCGGAGATGACGATGATGATGACAGTCCTTTAGACAAAGCATTTGATCAGAGCGGCCAAGAGACGATAGATACTTCAAAAGATGTAGAAATTGAGAAAACAAGTATACAAAACAAATCTGATTCTGTATAAAATTTGTAATTTCTTGAAGTTATAAATGTCACATATGCCTGATAGAATTTAGTATTGTTTAAAAATTTATGATTAAGTTTATTGTAATAGATGAAATGAATTATAGACCATGTAAATGAAATCAGGTTTTTTTTGTGTAACCATTTCGTATCAAACCAGATTCTATTTCTGCTATCCCGAGTACATCTCACCTCTTTATTTACATATTATCTTCAAATTTTTCTTAGACGATAATTTTTCGACTTTTTGTATTACGTATAAATCTATGATCGTAGGCATAACAATGCACATTATAGTCTACAAAAATATCAAATTATTGAAGAAATTATTGTGAGTATACATTTGTACTTGTGAGTGGATATTTTGTGGATATTTTTTTGTATTACTAAGTGGATTAGACACCAATTGGCTATATACAGTTAACTATATAGTAATGTAATCCTGTTATTTATACAAACACATACACAGGCACCTATATGTACACGTACATACATAAACTTGCAAATGCACCTATATGCAGACTCAAACACACTAGTAAGGTTAAC